TATATATATATATATATATATATATATTATAGAAGAAAGAAACTCAGATTTTTCACAATAAATGAGCACATTTTGACAGAATTTTTATTTTGAACTATCCCTTTAAAACTAACTAATATGTTCTATATTTTATCAATAGCGTAATACATATGAACAAATTGTGCACTTTATATTCAAGGTTGTTTATGTGTTTTATAAAGCTCTCATTACATGCTGGGTAGGGTAGAGCGGGGAGGAAAGAACCATTTTTCAAAAATTTTTTTAAAGGTAATTTTTTAGACAAAAATTGATTTTTGCTGTAGTTACTAGCAAGTGTGGTCTATCAATATCCAGTGGTATTTTGTACAAATGCTTTAAAACAATTTCGCTTTAAACATAAATAGCACATTGTTTTGGGGACTAAAGTAACACGCGTGTGCATGCGGGTCAAAAGTAAAACATATGCTAGATTTTCTGGCTTAAACTTGTTTCAAAATATGACCTTGTTAATATGTTAACTACAAGCATTTTTTTTGTGTGATTTATGTGTGCAAAAATATTTATCTTGCATTATCATTCATAATTTCAGTTCCATGAAATGTTTCAAAAATAGCCCAAAATACTCATTTACTTATTATTATTATAATTATTATAATTATTATTATTATTATTATTATTATTATTATTATTATTATTATTATTATTATTATTATTATTATTATCATTATTATTATTATTATTATTATTATTATTATTATTATTATTATTATTATTATTATTGGCAATATGTAATAATTTGATAAATATTTAAATGGAAAGACTGCAAACTCATACATGGAAGTGAAAAATTGATAGGGCCAACTGGCACCTAAACATTTTGCTCATATTGTGTTGCAAAACAGGGGATATGTTTAAGTTATTGGAATGTTTAGTGGTATTTGCAGGTTTAAGCTTGGAGTAATTCATTTGTAGATATTAATTTCTGTAATTACATGAAGGTATTTTTAAACGAGCCAATGCACGTAAAGTATATAACTAATAAGTGCAGCACATCCAATTACTAAGTAAAATGATAATACATTGTTGCAAATATATCAGCAGACTATTCAGGATTTGGTTTTAAATAAGTTAAATGAACTGAAATAACTTCAGCACTGCCATCTATTTTTGTCATCTTTTTTTGACACCTTGCTTATGTGTGCAATCATTTCCTCTTTTGAGAGAGCTTATACCCACAACATGAGCATTTCCTTGAAGTTATCGCAGGTTGTATTACTTATTCAAACGAGGGTTCTCATACTCTTTTATATTTTAATCCTTAGTGCTCACAGAAAATAAACTTGCACTACAATCAAATATTCCAAATGTCTATTACACAGAGTTTCCTGGTTGTCCAAGGGTCTTTGTCCCAAGATCAGCTTCTCTGTGTGTCTGTGGGGGACAGTGGGGAGCCAGTCAAAGAATTCTCTATCATGACCACTGAAAAAGGTATACTAAAACAATTTCAGCCTTGATTGTTGCAATCAGATCAAATTATCGAAGCTATGCTACTTTCATTTTTAGCCGTAAACTACATCAACAATTCTGCCACTTTTTCCTTTCTTTTTCCTTTTACTTCTATCAAAGCATCTAACTGTAAGAAAGCAGTGATTTTCCAATTTTTTTATGAAAGGAAATGAACTGTGAGGTGCAGCCAAGTTTTGAACATTTCCTGTTGCAGACATAGAAATACTAAATGAGAATCCAAATGTAAATAGTTTATTCAGTGCACTTGAACTATGTAAAGTTTGATAAACTCTTCTGCGTAGTAGTTTCTTCCCTATTTGTGCAGGCTTGTCCAATTCACATCATGAACACCGCTGCTTTCCTGTTTCCTCGTTACATATGAGTTCAAGACTAGTTGGTCCGGTTTCTGCCTGTTATTCACAGTGTCGGTCTGATTTTCTCTTTTTTCCTTCTTAGCCCTTCGACTGACAGCATCACACCTGGCTTTCCCTGATCTCTTTCAGCTGCTGCATTTCTACACACTGAGCAGGTGTGAATGTTATTATCAACTACTAGCTCCAGATAAGGTAAAGGTTTTACTTGCTAACTGAAAGGTATCTCAGGAAGCACTGTGCAACCACATGTTGGGTAGAAAACTGTGCTAAAATATTCTATAGTGCAAACTGGTACTCTTCTGTTGTATACCAAAATATTTATATAGTAACTTTTTAAAAGAACCTTTGTTTTAAATGGCACTTTTAACTATAAGAGAAGGTTTTATATTTGTAATTTAGCAGCCAAAATATTTGTAATTTGGAAGACATGTTGTGGCTAGACAGATCCATAGCAACCATAGCATGTTTTGTCTGAAACACTTCAATCACTAAGCTCTAAATAATATGATTCAGTGTTTGAAATGTCAATTTATGAGACTGGAGTGAAGAAGAGACCATTTGATTCTCATAGTCGTTGATGGCAAGATTGGCAAGGCACAATCCTAGAGCCTTTATGTAAACAGTAAAATAAATATGCAAGTAAGGAAGTTAACGGAAAGTTTGTTAATGTGCAATCAGTGTGAATACTGGGAAATCTGTAATTATATGGTATAAGCCTTCAATAAGTGCTAAAGAAAACAATATACGTAACTTTTTCTTTTGTTAAAGTCATTTATTAATTGACCAGGGGTGCGTTTCCCAAACAATGACATAACTCGCGGCTGACCTTTCAAAGTACATTGCTTCGTTTGGGAAAAGAACGATGTAGTGACTAGTGTTTTTCAAAACCATAGTTTCTCTGTCGCAGATCCATCATTCGAACCATATTAGTTATAATGTAAACGTCTACGATGAACGAGGGGATAAACGGGGTGGAGTAATTATTTCTTTAAAGAAAAAAACATAATTTTTGTGCAAATGATATTGTTTTACATGCACACACATAAAATAAAAATCCAATATTAGTTTTGGTAAAACATGTGCTGCGTCCGAAACTGCATACTTCCATACTGTTTAGTACCCTAAAATCAGTATGCGAGCCGAGTAGTACGTCAGAATTCATAGAATTCGAAAATCAGTATGCGAAAAGTAGCCGGATGACTTACTACTTCAGGCGAGATTCAAGAGTGCGCATCCCATGCACGCTGCGCTATCCCATGATGCCCCGCGAGAGAATTCATAAATGGGAGTGAAGCGATGCAATTGACGCAGGTAGGTCACGTGACCATGACAAAATGGCGGATGTAGTACGTCCGAATTCCATTCATACTTTTCACATTCATACTGTATAGAGCGTACTTTTCTAACGGCTGAGTTGTACGTTTAAATTTAAATGCAGTACCTACTGAGTAGTCAGCGGTTTCGGACGCAGCCATGCACTCGCTTTCCATATTCAGTGAAATATATATATTTAAATGACACATATAGGGCCTGTGTTTCCTCTACAAATATTATTGAGAATATGCCATATTTTATTCTAAAACATAAAACCACTAAGCTAACGCGTACTTTAATCTCATATGTAAATCATAGAAATCGTTAATGGTTGTTATTTACAGTAGGCTTTTTATTAAGAAATAAAAAAAAATCCTACTTAAAAATAATAATAATTATATTTATTATTAATAAGTAGGATCTTGTTTATAATTTTTTTTATTTAATTTTATTTATTGTAAAAATCTACTTTTGCAATTTGACACATTTAAAACCACTACAGAAATGTTAACCAACAGGCCCATCTCAAATGCAGTACAGATACATTTCTTAATAAGTAAGCTGCTATAAATTAAAAGCATTAACATTCATTCATTTTCTTGTCGTCTTAGTCCCTTTATTAATCCGGGGTCGCCACAGCGGAATGAACCGCCAACTTATCCAGCAAGTTTTTTACGCAGCGGATGCCCTTCCAGCCGCAACCCATTTCTGGGAAACATCCACACACACATTCACACACACTCATACACTACGGACAATTTAGCCTACCCAATTCACCTTTACCGCATGTCTTTGGACTGTGGAGGAAACCGGAGCACCCAGAGGAAACCCACGCGAAGGCAGGGAGAACATGCAAACTCCACACAGGAACACCAACTGAGCTGAGGTTCGACCCAGCGACCTTCTTGTTGTGAGGCGACAGCACTACCTACTGCGCCACTGCCTCGCCAGCATTAACATATGCTATATATTTTGGTTCTCACAAGCTTTGGAGACGCAAAGTAAATTCCGCTTTTAATTAATAGGTCACCTATAGCTTTCGTCATGATCCATGGCTGCATTCAAAATGGCATAAATGTTTTCAAAGTGCACTGCCAAGGGAACGCAATTGTCAATATGAGGATTGCTAAAACTGAACTTTAAAAAATACTTTGAAAGCAAACCACATCACAGAGAGATGACTTTAATAGTGTTTTTTAATCATTCCAAGTTTAAATGTTGGAACGTTTGAAAAGAATAGGGCATAGGGGGGATAACTTGTAAAAGAACACAACTAGAAACTATGCTTCAAATAACAGATCGAGAAATGTGTGTGCAAATGTACAAGTTTGCGAATGTTTGTTGGATTGATTTGGGAAATGCCAAATAAACACACTATGATTGCAACAACGCAACTTGCAACCTTAGTTGGCTAACGATGGTTTTCGGAAATTCACCCATTTATTTATTGTTTGTTTGATCTCTTCTACTAAACTTCTCCTCAGGGATGTATTGCCTGTGTGTTTACTGGTTCCCTCATGGGTTTACACCCTTAAGAATCTACCGGATCATCTTGTTCCTCTGCTTGGTCCAAGTTAGTGCTTGCCCTGTCATTCACTATTCTCTGTACTATACTATATTTCAGCTATTATCTAAGTCAGGCTCTTTCGATTTCAAGGGTTTGTGTGTGACTTTCAGAGACCTGGCTGTGCCCATCCTCAGATCTTCAGGCCAAAAGTAGCATGACTCCAGAAACAGCAGAAACAGCAGAGACAGTTATGTGCACTATACAGGTGATACAGACCTTCTGATTCTGTTTGAACTTTTGTAATTTAGCAGTATTTGTTTAGTCTTGAATAAGTTTATGTGTAAAGTACATCCGAAAGATCCTCGTTCTAATTTTGTTTTAGATAATAATTTAATATATTTTGGACACTTTTGAGAAAACGTGCAAAGTTTTTGGTTCTTGCTATATTTAAAGTAAGTATTGACTTTATGACAATACTTCACAGTCAGTTCAACACTTTATTCTGATGTGTCCTTGTTACGCATAGCAGTGGTTCCAGTTGTATATGATCTTTAATTGTATTTTTTATCCCTACACCAAACTGTAACACTAAAGTAAGTTAATTAAAATGAATTGGTCCTCATTTGTGTTATTACACTGTAACTGTAAGCTCATTTTTAAATAAAGTGTAGACAAAATGTTTACAAATCTAGCACTGATAAATGTTTAAATGCACTGTACCACCCTAACAAGTTTGTTCATAATGATCTATTCCTTTTCATTTATGTTTATTTTTTCTATTTTTTTAAAAGCTTGAACAATAGTGATTGATTCTTGCAATTACACTCACTGGCCACTTTATTAGGTACACCCTACTAGTTGCGGGGTGGACCTCCTTTTGCCTTCTGCCCTACTGCCCTTAATCCTTTGTGGCAAAGATTCAATAAGGTACTGGAAATATTCCCCAGATATTTTGGTCCATTTTGACATGATAGTATCATGCAGTTTCTGCAGATTTGTTAGCTGCATATCCATGATGTGAATCTCCTGTTCCACCACATCATAAAGGTGCTCTATTGGATTGAGCTCTGGTGACTGTACAGGACATTTGAGTACAGTGAACTCATTGTCATGTTCAAGAAACCAGTCTGAAATGATTAGTGCTTTATGACATGATATGTGTCATCCTGCTGGAAGAAAGATCAGAAGATGGGTACACTGTGATCATAAAGGGATGGACATGATCAGCAACAATACTCAGTAGGCTGTGGCGTTGATATGATGCTCAACTGGTACTAATGGGCCCAAAATGTGCCAAGAAAATATCCCCCACACCATTAAACCACCACCAGCAGCCTAAACCATTAATACAAAGCAGGATGGATCCATGCTTTCATGTTGTTGATGCCAAATTCTGACCCTATCATTTGAATGTTGCAGCAGAAATCGAGACTCATCAATCTAGGCAACGTTTTTCCAATCTTCTATTGTCTAATTTTGGTGAGCCTGTGTGAATTGTAGCCTCAGTTTCCTGTACTTAGCTGACAGGAGTGACTGGTGTGGTCTTCTGCTGCTGTAGCCCATCCGCCTCAAGGTTAGACGTGTTGTATGTTTAGAGATGCTCGTCTGCATCCCTCGGTTTTATAGAGTGTTTAACCAGTCTGGTCATTCTCCTCTGACCTCTGGCATCAACAAGGCATTTGTGCCCACAGAACTGCCGCTCACTGGTTATTTTCTTTTTTTCTGACCATTCTCTGTAAACCCTATTTATAATGGTGCATGAAAATCTCAGTACTTTTGGCACCAACAGCTATGCCACATTCAAAGTACCTTAAATATTAAACCACCTTTCTTCCCCATTCTGATGCTCAGTTTAAAATGCAGCAGATTTTCTTGACCATGTCAACATGCCTAAAGGCATTGAGTTGCTGCCATGTTATTGGCTAATTGGAAATTTGTATTAACGTGCAGTTGGACTGGTGTACCTAATAAAGTGGCCAGTGAGTGTATATACGTTATACAAGTGTACATGATTTTCAAATTGTTTCTATTTCCTGGTAGGTTACAGCTGCCAGTGGAGCTATGTGCTTCATCAATCCCTTATACCTTCATGAGCACGGTGATGATTGGCTCACTCATTCTTCAGCCAACCCAGTCAGACATCCATTAAGGCGAGACAAGCGGTTAAGTACCACAAGAACTTGGGAAGGGAGAGGACTGAAAAAGAGGTCATCTTCACCAGCTGAGGACTGTAGCACTTTCAACAATGACAGAGGTAGACCCTCTTTTAATATTAATATTAATAATAATAATAAGTTAATATTCTTTATACATTTATATGATCCATTAATAATGTGAATTACCTTTTGTTTTACATTTTTAGTTTTCAATTTAAGGGTACTATTTTACAGATCTAGGTGCAAAGTCTAAATTGCAGCATTAAGAGCATGTCCAAATCCACTTTTACTATTTTAAGGATGCAAAAATATGCTTTGCGCCACGGCACATGGTCTAACACGGTTGTGCTTATTCTCTTAATGAGGTATGGATGTGTTTTGAGAATAAACCAATCAGAGTCTTATCTCCCATTCCCTTTCAGAGTCAGTTGCGTCGTGCCATGGCGCATTTGCTATTAACATTGGCAGACTTTGTAAGTGAAAAAACTGAACGCTTCACTAGTGAGAAAACAGTTAAGCAGACCATCTGCGGCATGAGGATAAAGAACGAGACTTCTCCTATCAACCTTTATTTTCTCTTTCTCTACTTCGTGGATAAGGAAACGGTGTTGTGCGCACTTCGCTGAAGACATCCATTAGCCTACATAATTATTTTCATTAATTATACACAAAGATTTGTTTTAAAACTGTTTCTAAATTCAGTTTTCATTTTCAGCAAACTAATAAATGAGCTATAAAAACAAAGTGCGGTCAAAAAACTGAGTTTTATCAAATCACACATCCTATGCCCCATATGGTCTAAAGGTGGACAAATCTCAGCTTGTTTTTATTAAAACAAATATAAATATACATAGGCTATAACAAAAAACACTACTACTAATAATAACGTTATACAAAAGCAAGTTGTCATGAATAAACTGAAAAAGCCCCACAAGATGAAGAAGGCATGGTGGCAGTGTTTTTTATATTTATGTAGAAAATAATATTTTTAAAAATATTTTAATACTTTAATTTTTTTAATTTGTAAAGATATTTGCGTATTGGTTTACATCCTGTGTGTTTTAAGCAATGTGTAAGCGCTTAAGGCGCATAACTAATGCACTCTACGTTGGACTTTAGACCTGATTTCAGCTGGTCTATTGCACAGTCTATTTTAGTTCCTTAAAATAGCAACGCAACAGCAATGCGCCATAACACCCATGAGTCCACAAAGTGGCGCAAATGGACTTGCTATTTCAACAACTTGGCGCAAAACAAGAAAATTAGGGTTGTGCTGGTCTGAAAATAGCAACACGTCATGGCAAACACGTCTTGCACCTTATTGCTCCAGGTGTATGATAGGCCCTAAGTTGAGTCCAAGTTTAGGAAATGTTGTTACTGTTTATTAGAGGTCTGCTGCAGAAATCTGGTCGGGTCCCGCGGCTGTACTGCAGGTTCAGATTTCTGCGGCGCGGGAATAAATTTCCAAATAAAGCACGGGAGCGGTCAGTAACTGGTTTAATTTAGGATGGGAGCGGGCTGTCTAGCAATATTGCTCCCGACTCCCTAGCGAGCGTATGTGTGTGAATGAGACAGCGTGATGCTGCGTTTAGCTTGTTTGTTGGTGTGTGAGTGTGTGTGTCTTCTGCGTCAAGTGACCGGCGTAACCTACGGCGCATGCAACGCGCATAGCTGTGCATTTATCCTTCTGCACACTGTCTCTGTTGGTCTGCATTAACACTTCCGAAACGCTAGTTGGCAGTGAGGGGTAAATGTTCCTCTGTGACGAGTTTCTTTGCCTGTGTTTTGCTTTTCCTGAACACTTCCGGGATGTACAAGTGGCTCAAACTCGCTCATTTTGAGCGAAGGGCTATGCGTCAGCGCTGTAGCATACGCCAGCGTTTGACGCAGAAGTATAAATCAGCCTTTATGTGTGTGTGTTTATACAGAGAGCTTGTTATAGGCTGTCTGGACTCTGTATAGCTGGGTGGTTTTCGGTATTGTTCAACCCCCGCTCGTTAGCGGGAACAGGTGTGGTGGGTAGAAAACAGGGCAGGGGAGAACAAATGCAGAATATAAGCGGGAGCGGTCGGGTTTGGGCTAAAACCTGACGGGAGCGGGATTCAAAATTTAGTCCCGCGCAGATCTCTACTGTATATCTTTGTTTTTTATTACTGTTTGTTTGTTTGTTCAGTCGTTTGAGGAAACGTTTCTTAATTTTTATTTATGTTTTTAAGGTGTTTCTGTTTTTGTGATATGATCTTTAGTTTATTTTTTTCAATGTTTGTCC